AACAGCATACATTTATGTATAACAGCAGATTTCAATAATATCTTAGTAATTTTTTGCTTTATCTCCCAAAATGCACATACACAACAGTTCCTATCTAAGATGGATGCTCCCCTTTTTTACAACGTCTGTATTTTCCTTGTTCTTATCAACAGACTTTCTTAAAATTCCACATAGCTCTCACTTAGAAAACAGAGCACTGAAATTAATTCTCAGTGTCTGAACAAAAAATATGACTTCGTGCCCACATAAACTCTTTTAAGTTCTGCTGGAAATGCAAGGCACAAGATAGTTCAGCTCAAGGGAAAGCTGAGCTGAAAGGACTGATGGTGGCAGTAGCCCAACAGAATTTCAGACCAGCTCAGGAGACCAGGCCAGATAAAAACCTAGGAACTCCTAGGAAGTCCAAGTCCATAGTAGTGTAAAAAGGGCAATACCACCACTAAGGAAAATCAGGACTGAGCTTTGTTTACACTGTTTGAAGCAGAGTTTGCCTGTGACTCATCACCACACTCCCAGCAACCCTGAGCATTCAGATCCAAATTAGCCTTTTGTGCTATGCTCCCCAGCTGACAGGGGGCTCTGTGCTTCCCATGCTTTTCGGCAGAACCAGACAGTGTCCCCTCACCTTGGCACTGATGTCTGAGCTCACAAACTTACAAACTGGCTGGAAATAGTAACTGCTAAGTGCTTTTCTTTAAAATGCTTATTGGCAGCCCTGCTCAAACATCAAATTCTGCACTGTTTTAAAACACTTAGAATTATTTACGTTTATTTCATAATCCATTCTGGATTTTGTTCCCCTTGTAATTAACATAAGGCAAGTGTTAAGTAGTTCTGGTACTACGGATTTTTTTGTTAAAGAACTATCAGTACTTTCAAAAGACTCCTCTTCTATCCAAGTATTAAAATTCTTAGGGCCAACACCTGCTTCATCTCTTGAATTCATTTGCATACATCTCAAAATATGATGAAACAGGTTAAAATGCTTCCAAGAAACTACATGCAAATGCTTTGCCTCACTCCCATTTTATTGCAGGAGTCTTATCTCAGTTGCTCACTTTCTAATATGCTAATCCACACTGCTGAGTTCCTCACTTCTGCCCCTCAACACAGCAGTACAGGATCATCCATTAGATTTTAAAACAATTCTGTTTCAAATTGTTATGCATGCAACTGATGCTCAGAAAAGATTGTAAAAACTATTCAAGTGGCAACTCAAAAAACTTCATTAGAAGCCAATTTCAGTGTGCTTTATGTTGAAAACAGTAATTTCAGAAAAAAAAATTAAGTTAACATAAAGGTACATGGCTAACTTTTTATTAATCTGAGAGCCAAAAGTAAAGAATGCCCTAAAACCACAGATTTCTGAAATTCACTACATTCAGTGACAGGATAACTGCATATGCATTAAGAAGCATGGTACATCCATTGCTGCAGAGCACACAGTATACACACAGGCATCTGCAAAGGGTACAGACCTTAGAAAAGCTGTACATCTCTTAGCAATTCGGTGCTGAGCACTTGTGAAATCTAAATGTTTACCCCTGTATTTAAAAGATTGGCTTTTCAGATACTCTTAGAATACTGGTTCAAAGGTTTAACTAACAAAAGCCAGAACAGAGTGTGGTCACAGAGAGTCCTATTTCCACTAACTTTTTAAACATGAAATCATTATAGACAATATTGCAAAGGTATTAGGAAAAATTTTTCAAATCAAACATGTTCTGAAATGAATTTTAAATGTTTCCAGACTAAGTTTCCCCCATAAGAATGTATTGCAGAGATCTCAAAATAAAACAGACCTTCAGCAAAATTTGCACCTCTACCTACAGCCTCATCTGATTCACGAATGTAACATTTCAGAGTAGCAACCACGTCAGCCATTTCAGTTTTGGAGATCAGATTTCAAAAAGATGATACCCTTGAGAACACATTCAACCACTCATCTTGTATATGCTTACACACAGCTGGCCTAATCCTTTTTATGACTTCAGATGTGTCAATTACAATTTCCTAAGTTAGGAAAGAGATACTAGTCTTCTTAGCTTAAAATCCAAACACGCTACAAAAGAGTGTTTATAAATTATTCTTTACTCTATTACAAAATAGTCTTCTCTACATGTTTTTGCAATAATAAAATTTTCTTATGGACAATTTGACAGATTCTGGCTGACATCAAATTTTCACCATGGAAAGCAGTGGTAGGTTTTCAGTAATTTCTGGCACAGCATAGCTGAGAAACAAAACCAAACCATTTTAAGAAATCCAACAACACTAATTCACCCACTGAGAAGAACTAATGTTCTAAAATGAAAGGTTAAAAGAAGATGCTTGACTATCTAATGGTGTGCATCCTCTCTGTGGTAGCCTGAATTTGCTTCGTGTAACTGCCTACTTTAACACAAAACTCTTCTTATGAGACACCAAAGTAGCAACTGTAGCACCAAGCAGAGGTTATGACCCAATGTCTCCAGGCAAACAGCATTAATACATTATTACTAACTGGCAATCTCCAAAAGGTGAAAATTCAAAATCTGTATGCCCTAGATTGCAAGGCAATGTGTGTATTCTATTTGCCATCTGTTAGAGGTGTGGCAGTTATCTTCTGTTAATTAGGCAGTTTTCTTTATCTCTTCCACAAACGAATCCTCCCTCCGAATCCTCCCTCCGGGGAGACATCTGCTGTTAATGGGATATTGAGTGTCACTGCATGGCTGATAAAACTTACAGCATCCCACTGTGAGATGCTCTGCCCAGAGGGAGGAGCCAAGCATTCCTAACTGGATAGAATCTGAGATTTTGAGACACCAGAACAGCCTTTCCACTGGATTCCCAGAGGAACAGCTGCCTTTTCCACTGGATCTTCAGAAGAAGACTACACCCTTCTACAGGATCACTGCTCCAACAGAACCACACCTGCCACTCCAGGAGGACTGCTACCAACACCCTGACCAACAGGGCGTCAGGTCATATTCTGATTCTGTCAGTGTTGTTTTGTATTACTGCATTGTTAATTTTATTTTTTATTTTCTTTCCTAATAAAGAACTGTTATTCCTGCTTCCATATCTCTGCTTGAGAGCCCGCCTTAATTTCAAATTTGTAACAATTCGGAGGGAGGGGTTTACATTTTCCAGTTCAGGGGAGGCTCCTGAGTTCCTTAGCAGACACCTGTCTTTTCAAACCAAGACACTGTATCAGATGATCTTCAAAGATATTGTCTAGCCTTGCCTTGAAAACTTTAGACCTGTCAGTGCAATTTCTGGAAGCAGGAGGGACAATTTAACACTTAAAGAACAATGTGAACATCTACTTGCAAGCTTGCTTCCAGACATGCAGCTGTGCACACCTGTTCCCAAAACCCCTGGCTTTCAGAATACTGAGGCACTCAGGATCTTTAAGCATAGCACTATCATTGCAGTGGCTGGGCCCATCCAAGCAAAGGGACATTTTCCCAGTATGTTGAGTTATGCTGCCCAGGATGCTGCCCAGGAAACAGCCAACCTTCTGCTGTGAGAAAGGCCATCAGAGCAGAAGAACCTTTAATCATGGAAAACTTCACATTTAAACAACAGCAGCCTCAACGTATCGTTTAACCACAGAATATTATGCAAAAATCCTCACTTTCTCTGCAATAAAAATGAGCAAAGTGTAATAATAAACCTTTAGGCTGCCCATTGCTATCAATTAATATAGTTTGTCCTAGAATCAGAAGTTAAGGATGGCAACACACTGCTTACAACTCTGACACTGACACGACTAGCTAAAAAAATAATTCTTCAGAAACCAGTTTGTCCATAACAAAACACTGACCAATGGAGCAGCAATTTAAGATTGAGATATATATATATGATTCAGGAAAACACTACTGAAGTCTTCATCAAGTACAAAACTCCAACCATGTATTTGCATTTAAGAAAATATACTGAGAGCATTACACAGCTATGCACTGCTGTGGATGATATTCCCAAGTGTTTGTGAATTTATGACTCAAATTAGAATCCATGTAGATGTTCCCATTAGGCACACAGGACTTGCAAATTACCAGGTAAAGTCTCATTTCTCTGAAAAAACATATTTAGACAAAGATTTCTCCATGACCATTTATTTTCTATTACAGTTTGAGTTACAAGAGCCACAGGCCAGCACAAGCACATGACAAGCACTGTGAAAGGGATCTAGAAAGATCTGATTCACCCAAGATAAGGAATTTTATCAAGTGGTTCAGAAGACACATACACATGTCTACACACACTTCAGGGCTGAAGAAAATAATTGAATAGAAAACGCAACTAAGAATAGCTACACTTAGCACAACACCACAAGGACATTTCACAAGATAACCCTTTCTCTGGTCAGCTTTAAGCGAAAAGATCATCTGATACTTTGTCATTTTTACAGGGCAGACCAACCCCATGAGATAGAGCAATGAATTTTATTCTCACATGGCCAAAAGTAAGTAACACCAAGTGGGTTCTCACCTAACTGCTTGGCTGCACAAGGGGAAAAAAAAGCTCATTTAGTCCCAGACCTCTCTTTTCCTCTGAAGGCACAAAGCCAGTTTAAGCAATATACTTCACTCCTAACACAGCACAGACTTCACCATGACTGATCCACACCCCTGAGAAACTGGCATCAGGACTGATGGAAAAGCCCCACTGGTTGAACTACACTTCACCCTACAGACATCAAGACTATCATAAGTTTTTTTTTTAATATATTCTGATGGAAGACTCAAAGAAAACCCTCAAACCTTTAACTGATTTCTATTTTAAAGATAGACTGGGTTTTGATTTTACAATCTAACAGCAAAAGCTGTATCATTTCCAAAGGTAATTTTTAACATTTTATTCTTTTAGTTAATATATAAACTACATAACATACATGAAACCTGTCCATATCAATCCCCAAACAAAATTGACTTCTGTAACAATACAGTGTAGCAATTAAGAAAAACTTACAGTGCGAGCACATTTCCAAAGGGTAGCTTGCCTCATTTCCCTGAAACACAACAAGAAAAAAAGAACAAAGTTGCAATTACTCCCAGATAAGCTTTAAGTAACTGTTTAAATTTCAGCACTGTAAAAATCTCTGGCAATACAAGTTACATTGTTATTTAAAAATATATAATTCAGACCCAACAATCATAGACTGTGTTTTATTTGGATAGATCTATGTTACCAAAACATACAAAGAAATATAAAACCATTAAGAGGTCTCCTTAAATAAGAACTCCCATGAAAACGTCAGTTCACATAATTATGACAAGAACTTCAATCCCGTATTCTAAACTCAGAAAAACAAACTCACTACTTATATATTGAGCAAATGTTACTTTTTAAGTTAAAAATATTTAATTTCGAAACTTCACAAAACCTGCTTTACCATTTTATTTCATAAGCAGAAACAGACATGTCCTTATAAATTCCGATGACAAATCTTATTCAATTTGCATAAGAAAACTGTTTTCTCCCCTGAACCACCTGCCCAATCCCCCCAAAAAGGATTCACACAGCAAGAATTATGCAAAAGAAGAATTTTACATGACCAGAAACTCAGACATAACAGCTTTACATTTAAATATTTTTGTAATGTACTATGTTAATATGTTCCTGCTTTGTAACTGAATGGTAAGTCAAACTAAGACTTTAAATCCTTGCTACACAACAACAGAGTAACAGCACAAAAAACTTAAAACTTTGAGGGTATCAACAATTTAAATGTGTACTCAAGGAAATCAGCATGAACTACTGCAATATGAACGCCAGAAAACACTTAAACTTGGTATTTTCCCCCAGATGCCCCACTTAGAGCCAGAGATCACAATACACACATGCTTAATGACTTTTCTGAATCCATTAGCAAAGGAGCAGCCAGATATCTGAAGAGATGTATAACCACATTCAAAACAAATATTTTAAGGGAGTGTATTCCACAAGAAAACAAAACATATTTCAGATGAATCTAAGATATTCTATTCAGCAGCAATTCTCATATGGTGTGGAGCATAAGGGATTCACAGCTGAGCACTTGCAAAGAAAGGCTCATCAAAATGATACAAAATCAAACAGAAATAGAGAGATTATTTGACAGAAGGGGAAAAAAAAGAAAGAACTACGTTTAGCCTAAAAGCTAAAATGTGACTGCATTTCCTAATTAGAGCAGAAAGGAGCAGAACAAACATCAATCTAAACATGTCCAAGAGGAGACGTGTTGTTGTTGTTCAGGGGAGTTGTTTGCATTTTTTTATCTCAGGAACTTTTCACTTTGCTTATCATCCCCCACAACCCACAGGCTCTCTTGGTTCTTTAAAAAAACGTTCACGCATTTGCTTTCTAAGTAGGGCAGCAAAAGGCACAGCCTTAATGTCTTCTCCAATGTCTACTTAGACCAAGACAAAGCAGCAGAACAGAAATGTAGATGAGGACAATCAGGCCATTAAAACCTCAAAAGCACATCAGGGATGTTCTTCAGACAAACTAACTGCACTGTGGCAGGGAATCCAGGAGAGTAGTGCCACATGGAAAATACTGCATGGAACCCAACCAAAGTCTCAGGATAAATAGCAAAGACCAAAATAGGTAGCAAAAGGCTAGTGTATGCATATGAATATAAAAGGGTAGGGAATCTAAAATGGGAGAAAGCAGAATTTTGAAACAAGAAGAAACAGGAACCAGGGGATCCAGCTAGGCTGCTCAAGACACGAGGTCATGAAGAGGCAAGAAAAACACCAGACTGGAAGGCTGCAAATTAAAGGAGAAAGTTGAATTAAAACCAGTGCATTTATGCACATGCACACAAATATACAATCTTAACTACTACTGTTCTGAGCATTTACATCCTTGTTCAGGTCTTGGAAGAAAATTAATTTCTGTTACAGGCTACCAAAATCAATCTGCTTAAAGACACATAAAATGCTTCTGAAAACTGAGCAGGACAAAACAAAAGAAATGGGAGTAACTGTTTTCAGTTCATGAATTGAGTAAGTGTAATGTTTATAATGAACCTTACTATGCATTTAGATGCACATGCTAAGTCATAAGTAAGTTATCTAATTGGAGTAGCCTACAAAATTATTTGGAGATCAGGCAAAAAAGTGAATAAACTTCAGCTTAGCTTTTCTTTGAAACTGCTACTGCTAAAAAAAAAATTGTTCAGAATACTTACCTATCCAGTACTGGATCTTGGATATCTAAAAGGGTAGAAAAATGTAGTAAATGACAATGTAAAAATTACAAGATTATTCAATATTTTCCATATAGTATTTAGGTAAAGTATTTTAAAAAGCACTTACCTGCTATTGATGCGTTGAATATTCATCTTCACAGGAGATCCAAAATTCTTGTAAGATTTAAAAGGATGTTGGTAGGGAGGGGGCTTTTTGGTACAAATAAACATCTGAATTACTCATGCCAAAATTCCTGTTTACACTGCTGTGACCCAGACAAACACAAAGATGGTACTCTATATGAAAGCTTAAGCTATATCAAAGATTAAGAGGAATGCTTTGGTCTGAGGAGCAGGCATTTTTAATCATATTCCACATGCGGCAGTACAAGTTTACTTACTTGTCCCCAAATACAATCAGAATGTGTATATGCTCTATGAGACAGGAGATAAACCCTGAAACACAATCACTAAGTAGGCTGAATACTCTTCTTGCTTAAGAAGCAAGGATTGTTTAATAGGCAGGCAGTAAGTAAAATGGAGAGTCTAGACCTATATCCACATTTATATGCTCAGTAAAAAAGCAGGGAGCAAAGCACAGCTATGAGACATCATTAAGTATCAAATAAACCCTCTAAGAAAAGGGAAAGAAACTGGATACACATTTTCATCTGTACAGTTTTAATGCAAAGAATTACCTAATTTTAACACCAGATGAGGAAGCATTCTAAAGAATGCTGGAAAATATTCCTTGTGATTGAGTGCGTAACAGAAAATTTGAGTTACTGAAAAAGATAATTATAATTATACCCCTTATTCATTAAAATAATGCTGCATTTACACTTTAGTTTATAGTTTTAAATTATACTAACCAATAAAGACCAAAGCCAGTGTAAAACTCCAAAGATATAATTTCATCTCTGATAAAAAAGTTCATTCATACAAATGCATCTATAGAGTAACAAGGTTCTGACACAGCATAAGACTGTCAATTTAAAAACCTCATTATAATCTTAGTATCTCCTGCCAGATATATACTTAGCATACCTCACAAAAAGTCCGAGTGTCTGCTCATATACACTATATCAACACATTTAGAAACCAGTGACATGTGGTTTGTTGAGGAAATGCATCTTTTACAAAGTCAACACTCCACAAGAGATTTACTTGCACCTACGCCCAGTGTAAAACATGCCTTCCCCAGCTGCATCTGGGTATCACTACCAGGCTGCTGGAACTCTGTTCTCTCTCAAGCTGCACCAGTAGAAAAAGAAGCTGAAATATTACAGATACTTTGAATATCCTTATCCTTTTAGAACAGTCTTGAAATTTTCTTGAATGCTGTTTGGAGGCTATAGGTTAATTCCTAGTTAAACAGGCACAAAATTATGACTTGTTGACAGAAATAATTACAGATAAGGGAAAAGTCCAAAATCTACTAACTGAAGGTTGACCCAATTCTGAATACTGCAGAAATGCCAGTTTCCTAGAGAAAGGTCAAAACACATCAGTAAAGGAGTTGACATGACATGTAATGTGTTCCTTTAAGAACAAAAATGGGTTTTGCAATTTTCTACTGAGTATTCTTTTTTCTTTCAGCAGCTGTGCCTTTTTACTAGGTAAGGATAACCTCTTCATGGACTTCAGTAATTTTATCTTCTGTAAATTTTAAAAAAAGAAAAAAGTCTTCCCTGATTTTTTTTTTCCCCTGGCAATTATTTCAAATACTAATGACTCTTTAGTCTTAAGATCAGTTTTGTACATGCTGCTCCAAGGTACAATAGTTGAGGCAATTATCTTGACAAATGTCCTCTTAGTGAAAGACATGAAGATCTGTGGATAGAAAGTAAAAAAGGAAATTAGCAATTAGCAAAATTAGTAACAGAATTTCAATTCTTATCTGCATTTGTTTATACAAAACAGCTTGTACACAGACATCACACTGCAAAGCAGTTCTTCAGCATATATTAGTAGAACACTGTTTCTAGGTCTGATTATGCATAACTTTTCTGCATGGAGTGCATCTTTTTGTAAATAGTTCAGAGAGCTAAATTACAGCATCAGCCCTCAATTAGTTTTCTGCTTTTATAAAAAGAGAAAATGTGTTTAAATGTCAGCAGGCAACAATTTCATCCTAGGACTAATCTCAAATTTAGTCCTTCAAAGGGGGTGGGGGGTGTGTGAGTCACTAGAAATGAAAATTAATCCCTGGACAGTTTAAAACATAAGGTTCTTTCCACAGACAGGCAATTAATTCAGCAAGGGGCAAGAGTGGTCTCCTGATCTGTTTAGTACATGTACAGGAGTGGTTGTCCAAGATTTGCAACCTTCTGTGGCAGCATACAAAAGCAATGTAAGATATTCATCCTTGTAAATGGCCTTAAAAATGCAAACCACCTTGTCACAGCCCTGGCTGCTCCAGCTCTACACTAGATGTTCCTGCATTTGTGTTGTTGATGCAAGGGCACCTCCCGGGGTGCTGGCAACACAATGTATGTTGTGCTTCTTACATCTTCTCCTGTATCTTCTACACTTCTAATTATCACTGTTAACAAAACCAAGAAACTTCAGCAGGCAAGTGAAACGGTCCAAGCCACGTCAGCTGGGGACCAGAATGAGGCATTATCAAGATAGCCAATTAAATTCTTAAATTACACAAAAAGCTGTTTTCCATCATCCCCTACCACAACTTTAAAGAATGGGAGTATTAAAAAGAAAGATGGAAGCAGCTGGCGGCTCACATTTAGGAAGACCCTACACGTAAGACCCTTCTCCCTGTTCCACAAACACGGAAAATGCTTCTCTTGTCTTTTCTCATTCTTCTCCACACCACCAAAATTAATACTGATGACAATTACCTGTTGCAGAGAATTCTTCCTCCTCCTTCGAGTTCATTTTCCACGTATTGTCACTTTCATAAAGCTTTAACAGTGAAGAACTGCTTGGTGAAAAGAAGTTTGATTTGGGTGGGGTTTTTTTTGGCTGTTAGAGGTTCGTATTCCTCATCAAAAAACAGCAGGCAAGTAGTCAAACTAAAAATGATGGTATGTGTTTTCAAGGCTCTAAAAACTTCTGCATGACTAGAACATGCCACATAGACATAACTACAGTGGTTTAAAATAAATTTCACACAAAGCCCAGGAAGCTTTAAGCCATGTTAATATTTGAATTTCTGAATTAAATGTTGGTCACAAAAATATGCAAAATCTCACCTATTGTAATTTATACATTTTGTGAGGAACATATCAGAGAATTAAACACTAAAAGGAGTTTATCAAAGTGCAGATGAAAGACATACACAAAGTTTCTGCAGACACCACAAAAAATATGGCTTAAAACAAGAAAAGCAAGAACAAGATTTCAGTGCAAAAAAGCAGCAAGAAAAATACTTTAATCTACCCTGTTCAGAAAGAGTGTGAATATACTTCTATTTGGCCTTTTCTGTTAAATTCTATGAGAAGAAAAAACCCTCAAAAACCCTTGAACAAACTACTCAACACAGTAATGTTGTTGTCAGTCCAAGAGGAATCTATGAATCAAGAAAAAAGTCACTCATTATCTTCTATTTAACAGGAATATCCAATTTATACACTGCAAAAGGAAACTTGTATAGGAAATGTAATAGATAAGATCACCAGGGAATTTGGCATTTGTGTTTTGACTTGGAGTATTTAAGTAACCCTTTAGGCTTTTTATCACAGGCAGTGAACAAATCCACCTAAAATTTGAATATCCAAATATAGTTACCTGAAAGCAAGACTTAAATGAAGAACTGATAAAATTGCAGACTAAGTGCCAAAATTTAGAAAGTACCATTTAAAACAACTTGGTGACTTCTGCATTGTTTTATACAAACCAGCTACTAAGTACTGTGCTTTGCTTGAAAGGATTCCAGGCAGAGAGAGTGCAACTCTCCTAAATACTTCCTCGAATTAGCAGTTCTTCAACACAAGACTTCTACTTAAAGAAAATAAATCCACCTCTGAGATTCTTACATTCATACTAAAGTTGAGTTAGATTTTGTGATGCAAAAATTAAGCAAAGCCAAGAAATTAGAAGACACTGAATAAGAAGGCTTGTGGAAGTTCATGAAACTTATCAGCAGTGACAGTTTCACTGCTGATCCCAAATTATCTTCTTTTCTAAGATCATGTCCTAAAGAAGGAATTAAAGAAATACATAAAAATTCATGTGAGGTGATACCCATCTCACATTCAGTAAGATCCAAAATTAAATATCTCTTAGCAGTGAGCTAGACTACACTCGCCAATCTTGCATTATGTTTTCAGGTCACCAACAAGTCCAGTCTATCCTGAAGCTGGGACAGCATGACAGTGGTTTAAGATCCAAGACTTCCAAGCTGAATCCAGCTCAAATGACAATTCATTGAATCTTGAGGACTACACTACAATTTTCACCACCTCAGCTCTGCTTATGTTCCATTCATTGTTGTAACCAAAGCCCACAACATTCCATAGTTATTACCTTGGCTATCCAAAAATCCAATATATTTTCTGGCACTGGACTGTCCTATCTGGGCACCTGGTTACCCTTTGGTGTGAGCTTTCCACATGTACAACAGAAAGAATTAAAGAGGGTACAAACGAGCACCAAATTCTTACAGGTTATACAGAAAAGTCATGGATTAAAGTAAAGTAAATAAGTAAGGAAAGACAAGAAAACAGAGAAGCAACAATAATGGTACCAGGTAAGTAGCACAGACAAGAAGTATGACAGTAAAGGACTTGGGCACTCCACTGGTATATAAGAGTTGCACTTCTCCGAGTAAAACTTGCCATCAAAATCAGTAACTCTTGTTATGAACACAACTCAAATAGCTAGAAGTAGCAACATATATTGAACTCACAGAATGGCACAAGTCATGAAAGAAATCTGTTTTGGTATTTCTTAACCAAATAAATCTTTCAATGGTCTGTATGGAAAAGAATTAACAGTATTCTTATGGAAGAGTATCCACCACTTTTTCTTTAATTCTTTAGTCAACCAGCAACAAGATGCATATTGCAGCAATATATTATAGTTATTTTCTCCTGGACCCCTGAGGATATAGCTACAAAACCAAGCCATGAAATTTATGAACTGACCTTAAATGCCGGTATTTAGATTATCTTGGGTATAATCACACAGTGCATGCAGGACAACAAGAGCAATCATTGTCTTTATCAGTCTCAGTCAGCCTGGGTTCTTGCACGGCAGGCCCTGCTTGACTAATCTCATCTCCTTCTATGGCAAGGTGTCCCACTGAGCACATGAAGGCAAGGTTGTGGATGTCATTTACCTGCACTTCAGGAAAGCCTTTGACACTTGTCTCCCACAGCATTCTCTTGGAGGAACTGTCTGCACATGGCTCAGGTGGGCCAGGAGTTCACTGGGTAAAAGAACTCCCTAGATGGGCAAGCCAAGAGTGGTGGTGAATGGTGTTGCATTCAGCTGCAGGCCTGTCACCAGCTCCCCAGGGCTCAGTTTTGAGGCAGGTCATATTCAATACCTTTGTCGATGATATGGACAAGAGGATCAAGGGTACTCTCAGTCATTCTGCAGATGACACCATGGGAGTTGTGTTCTGCTGGAGGGTAGGAAGGCCCTGAGAGGGATCTGGACAGGCTGGATCAATGGGCCAAGGCCAATGGTGTGAGTTCAACAAGGTGAAGTGCCAGGTCCTGCCCTGGGGTCACAAGCCCAGACAGCACCACAGGCTGGGGGAAAAGTAGCTGGAAAGTGTCCCAGCAGAAAATGACATGGTGGTGTTGACTGACAGCAGCTGGACACAAGCCAATGTGTGCCGAGGTGGCCAAGAAGGCCAATGGTATCCTGGATCAGGAACAGCATGGCCAGCAGAACCAGGAACCTCATTCTTCCCCTGTACTTGGCACTGGAGACACCTCAAAACCTATATCCAGTTCTGGGTCCCTCACTTCAAAAAGGACATAGAGGTTCTGAAGCAAGTCCAGAGAAGGTTTGGAATCTAGGTCCCTGCTGAGGGAGCTGGGGAAAAAGGAGGTTCAGAGGGGACTTTATCTCGCTATTCATTTGAGATTAAAAAGAAATCTTACAGTTACATTTAGTTCGCACATTGCTGTCCAACTAATTTAAGGTTGCTTTTAAATTGGTAGAGGATTTACTGGCAGGCACAATTTCAAAGAGGCCACAACTATCTAGCATAATACATCCACAACTCCCTAACATCTCTGTTACAATTCCACCCAGTAGTTTAAAACCAGTGACACAAGCCAGTCAACATATTCTTCCATTCCACCTTCGTGTTTGGAAATAACTTCCATTTAGATACATAAACTGTGTTCTCCCCTACAACTGCCTACCATCATCCATTGAAACTTTATAGTAACTTTTTCTGGGCGCATTCAGATACATTTCTTGTAAAGGTTACCAGAAATCTGATAAACAATTGAACTTGTATCAGCGCTCAGCTTTTATGTATGATCTTAAAGGTGAAACCATAAAGGTACAACAGACAGGTCTTACTGTTGTTAACAGGTCTTATTGTTGTTGTCAGCTGTTTTTATATTCTAACTCAATACCTCACCTGTGAATACTAATCAACAGCAAACATCAAGGAAGGCTGTAAGCATTTTACATAGAGAAAAGAGAACACCTCAGGGGAAAAAAAACTCATAAACAAAACCACAAAACCAAACACAGCTTCTTTTAACTTACCTTGGAAAGAAGATTTGAAGTTTTAAATGTGTTACTCCTGAAGCAGCCTAAACTTTTAATCCTGCCTCTAAATAAAATACTCTGTGACCTTCAGTACTGAAGGAACTCAAAAAAAGATTAATACCTACTTCTTCAACATATTTAAATTGCAGACATCAGAGATAATGAACCAAGGCAAAGGGGATTGGTGGATTTGGGATTACAGTAGAGATCAAGTCAGGTTAAAGCTGTTACAGCATTCTGGCATTGCTTCTTTCAAGTATGCTGAGTGTTATAATTCCCTTTGCCACAATAAAAAAAAAAAAGTCTTATTTAAAAAGCCAACCAACCAAACAAAAAAAGCAAAAAAACACCACCAACTTATTTTAAGTAAGTGATGATTCCTTAGAAGAGTCTCCCCTTTTGCATGTATGTCAGGTTCTACCACATTCCCTTTCTGGATACAACAGGCAAGAAAAACTGTCCAAGTCTTAGGAAAAGCCCACAGTTTACTCCTTAGTCACCATCTAATCCAGTCATGTCTCTGCTCAAGCTTCATCAGTCATTTTAAGGGAAGACACTTGTCCCCTGGCTGGCAGTTGGCCAGTAACTTCTGCTATGCTTTATTTAAATCCTTCACTGTCCATGGGTCTCTTCCAATGTGAGATATTAATGGCTTAAGGCCATCACAGTCAAGTAACTATTCTAGGATATCACAGGGAAGCCCTAAACCAATGAAGCACAAAGCAAAACCAATATTAGTGATGGCTCCTGTTGCCAAAGCCTCTAGCAGACAGAAAAATTAAAGGAATCAAGAGTGTAACTTAGAAGAGGATTCAGCCTTTAATACACCATCTGGCTTTTTTAAGGGAAACATAACAATAAAAAATGCATCTACTCAAATAGGATAACACCAACTTTTAAAATTTTCATGTTTTGAATTTTAAGTGTTCAGGACTGAAAAGCAATCTATGAAGTCTGTACACTCACAGCAGGGATTATATGATATATATTCATATACATCAATCCTATAGCATTCCCTATCTGAACTCCATTAAACTTGCTCAGCTTGCAGCAAAAATCTAGACTTGCATGATATTGAAGGTATGATTAAGTAGTTGGTTTAATCATAGATCTCTACATGCAGACACAAACAATAATTACTCACCTGCAGCATCTCCCAGAAAAAAAAGTCACCCAAGACAGAATGAGACATACAGACCCAGCAGAAACAACAAAGAGCAGTTTGCTAAATTGGTTAATAAGAAAGAATGACCAAAGATAAAAGCAGTTTTACTGCAAAGTTCTTTTCCTGAATTTGGAGGACAAAAGAAGCCATGAGGTCAGAGCCTATACTGATAATATCATTTACTAGGTATGTATGTATTGCCCTAAATTACCTCACACAACTTTGATGCAGACATAATAAAAACCTAAATGATAACTAGATTACTATAAACTTAACTCAATTGTCCCATTTGCAATATGTGAGACAACTTATATCTTCTGTTCCATTTTATGATCTCCCTAATAGAGCTTGCAGTATGTCAGATAGATAATAAAAAGTGCTGGAAACAAACATAGTGAGTTTTTAAAACTAGGTAAGGCAGAGAATAGATTGTGCCACATTTAGAAAACTAACAAATTAATCTTGTTATTTGAAGGAGAAAAGCAAAACCTCATACGTATGAAAAACCACAGAAAACAGTAAGAGCTCTCATTGTAAAAACATAGCAATGTGTAAATAAAACTTGAGAGAAAAATAGTGACAGAACAAAAGTGTTAACTTTATGAGCTAAGGTACATTTCACAATTTCATTTCTGGCAGTTCCCAGCTGCTACTCTTTAGCAGCAACCACCCAATCTGCTTATCCAATCACTTCAAAGCTCACATTTCTTAAGCTTGCATCACTCTGAAAAATTCTCAGAACCCTGCAATTTTAAGTGCATAAATGAATAATGAACTCTCAAAAAGCCAATGAAAGGAGTTTCCCAGAAGGATTCTGAAGCAACACAACCTTTAGTAGGGGAACAATAAAATTCTGCCACTACTAAATGAAGTCCTGATGCAATTAAGAGTTCACAATGAGAAGGCTTTGGGATTAACAGTTTGTTCCTCCACTGCTTCTGAAGGAGTCACAGAAAAATTTGCAAGATAATAATTTATTTGTTCCACTTAGGTTAATATACTGGTTTCACCTACAAAACTTCTTTCTACTTTTACAACACTAAGTGAAGTTTATTCAATTCCCTTAGCTAAAGAGCAGACCATGGCAACTGGTCCTTTTCAGCTTTAAAGACAATCGCAGTAAAGTTTCTCAATCAATCCACCCCATGACCCCATGTGCTGTTACATGGACTAACCCCACGCTAGTCAAAATGAAACCGATACCATACCGTCCAGAATATTTGTGATCCAAGCACAAAACTAGGTAGAAAATGCAAATGACTGCAAAAGAATAGACACATCATATACTTTGGAAGTACACAGTGCAAAAGCTTCTCTAAGAAGTATGAAAGGCAACATTAAATGGGACTGAAGACTTTATCAAGTGACTGAGGTGTCCTGGGATTTTCAGAGTTAGGAGCGAACATCTTAACAAAGAAATTGCATTAATTTACATTTAACAAGATATTAAAGAGAAACAAAAAACCAAAGCATATCACACTGATCTTGTTTTTTGGGACAGTGATGGATATAAACTGGATATCAGACACTTAGGAACACCAATTTAATCACCTCATTAGTAGGAAGGACTGTTTCCCCCTTTGTTGGTGAATATGAACACAGAAAATCCAAGCAACTGCAAACAATAAATTGTGTCACATTCATGTGAAAGAACAACTTCAGATTTGGAAAAGTAAACTAACACAGAGGAAAAAGGAACAAAACTTCATTCAAAACCTTAGGGCAAAACATGTAAGCATCACCAAGAACCTGGAGGAACTACTGAGTCCCACAATTTTCGCCAGAAATTAAGATTATACCCAAGCTGATATTTAGCATATCATACTCTGTCAAATGAAGAAAAGACAAAACTACCCAGAAGAGTCAAAACACTCATTTTTGAAGGTAAAATACTCAGTAGGTAATTAAAGCTCTTTCAGCTTCTCTCCTGCTCCAGAACAATTTGAAGATAAAATCAACTTTCCCAGAAAACTGACAATGTTCCAAACTTCTACTTCAACACAAAGCAATAATGACCTCATCACTGGCTGACCTACATATAAATAGGTACAGAACAATTACTTTACAAGAAGATATTAACTTGATCTAAGCCATATTGAAATACAATTTGCTATCTATATTCTCATGAGGCTGCTTTTAATTAGGCCAATTTAATTCTCAGCATTTCCAGTGACTATAAAATGAAAAAAACCAAACTAGGAAGCTTCAGCAAGCAGCTCTACAGAATAAGCCCCATAAAAACTCTACCAAGTTAACTGGTATTTCAATATCCCTCCAAAATTAATAGTCAAAGAATTATATTCTCTGTAATACTTCCAAGTCAAGCACTCTTGCTACTGGATTAATGAGGAGTGTGAAACACAGGCTTTCTTTTCTCCGCACTGTTTTTCAACCATGTCTAGTAGATTGTGGAAATCACAGTCACTTAAGGTATAGGACTTGCTTGCAAATTTAAACTTCTTTTTGAGTAATCTTCAAAAACCCAAAGGCTATCAATATCTATAGAATCAAAAGTTACCTCTTAAAATATGAGTTGTGATACTCCAAATACAAAAAATGAGTAAATTAAAGGATAGCTCAGTCTTCTGAAGTTTCTGAACTTCTGGATTGGCTTGTACAAAGATGACATTTAACTCCAAAAGTCTGAACTCTACAGACAGGAAAAAGCCCAATATCCATTAGATCAGTTTCGTACTACTACACTTCAGCAATGCAGCGAGGATTAAAAAGGAGTAAGAACATTTCTCTTTGCAGAGAGTTTTTCCAAAAAGCAGAAAAGGAGCTACAGCAGTCACAGAACCCCAAGCAAAGAAAAAAAAATCTCAACCCTAATTTCTGCAAGAAATGACTACAGATCCTCATGCCTGATTAGGCTGAGACAAATATGAAAGATAAGAATTTAGCTAGAACTGAAATGTAGCATGATGTCCTCTGACAGCAAGTAACGAACATACAAATTACTGTATTTGTTAATATATAATTATGTAACTAGTTATATATATCCATTAATGTCACATAATTAATGTGTTTCTTCCTCCTGTAGCTAGCAAAGGTCCCTTGCCACAAACTGTTAACAAACTTGAGCAAGGAAAGTATGGAAGATCACTATCAGTTACAAAATAAGTTTAGGTGGCTTCTTTTTCTAGGGGAGTTTAGACAGTAGATTCACTGCAAGTGGTATTTATAGAGGGCAAAGAAAACACCAAAGATATATTATCAGATTATACTGCATCATATAACAGCATTATGATGCTTAACATAAAAGACTCTACTGCAGTTCAACGTATGTCCCTATTCACAGAAACAGTGAGGTTAGAAACAGTCAAGAACAACATGACCTGCATATCTTTCTCTACCAATTGATTTTCCTAAGTTTTTACATTTCAATAGTGTATTCAGTCATGTGTTAAATGCAAAGGGAAAGGCTTTAGGAACAGTTGCACAGGTTTATAAATTAATCTGCAAAGGCCTGAAGCAAAAAAACCAAGATGATGCAGCTCTACTGCATACAACAGTTTAGTGGCAGTTTTAACAAACGCCCTTGAGCAGCAAAGTCTAAGTA